GAAAGAAAACCTAGTCTCATTGGACTGTGATAGTCTACCAGTGTACACATGTGTGACCGGACTGTGTGGTACAGTTAGGTGAGGTTAAGATTATTCTTTAAGATGATTCAATTCAACAAATTGGTTAATTAATTCAGGATTAAACAAATGTCCTTGCATTTTTTCTTCTTAATTGTTTTTATCACTATAGCACTACCCTATTATAAAGGAACAAGAGTTTTGCAAAACATTTTAAAAAAAATTAAAAATAAAAAAAAAATAAGACAAAACTTGGGTCCTGGATAATAATACCAATGTGTTTCATGTTGTGACAATGAACAGAAAATACACACATGCAATGCAAACAATAGTGTGGGATGATGATACCTTGTGTTTCCACAACTTTGTTTCCATTCTAAACTTGGGTGTGACCAATAACTTGATTTTGACATGGAGATGGAAGTTTACTCATACAGACAAGACATTTTTACTCAACTGTTTGGAGTTTTGTTTCTCAAATGATGTTAGTGTTTTGTATAAAAGGTACTATCTATTATGCATGTTTCACCACTCATTTCTCTTATTTCATATAAAATTCAAATGTTTTGTCAATCTTTGAAACTTTATCTACCAAACAAAGACCTTTCAAACTTAATAATTAAGTAAAACTGAATTACCAAGAAAACAATTATGCTATTTATATTAAATCGTAAATAATAAATATCATTACTCAATACCTAATTTAATTTTATAAGTTGACAGTAATAACTAAATATTTCTTAATCAATTTGAAAACTTCCATGACAATATATTTGTATATTATATTGTTTTTGTTTGGAGAGAAAAGGATTGTTTAGGATGGAAAATGAGAAATTGGTAAAAAAAAGTAATACTTTGACACAAATACAAAAATTTATTTTTTATAACCATTTTATTCTTATATTATATATTAAATAAATATAAAAGGAATGTATTTGCTGAGTGAAGTGGTGTTCGTGATTATTGAAGTTGAGCCTTGAAATTGACATGTCACCGTGATGCAGGGGAAGAAGACATTTTCTTTTGCTTTGTGTTTCACAACAGATGATTATTGGTGTTGATCCAGAAAATCAAATAGTGAGGTTAGGTGCAAACCATGTGCAGAGAAGGCCTATGAATAAACAAATATTATATTAAATTGCAAAATATCTCATCCACCTATCTAAGTCTTTCAAGCTAAAACATTAACAACATAATTTATAATACTCTCTTTTAAACATGTTATTATTATTGACTAAATTTTATTAAAAGGGGAAATTTTTTTGTATCTTATTTCTATGCAACGTTGAAAAAAAAATATTATGTTGTTGACATTTTAAATTAAAATTAGAAACTAAAAACAATAGTATAAAAATAACGGGGCATGTTAGATGACTAATCTCCTCTGTATTCGTGTTTTAAGTAAATTATCATCATGATTAAAATTTCATATTTTAGGAGATTTTTTTTTTTAAATATCTAACATGTTAACTTTTCGATAAACCTGCTGCATATTATATGTTTGTGAATACTAAAAACATCTTCAAATGTGTTGTCAAACATCTTCATAATTTTCTTATAATAAGTTTTAAAATGTAGTAGGGTGAATATGACTTTACTACATTATTTCTGAGATTTCTTCTTCTAATTTTTGTTTAAGCGAAGACTTGTGTGATTTACACTTTTTGCAACTTTTTTATTTATACCTTAATTTTCTTAGTGTCCAAATTTTAATTCAATTATACACGGAAGTGCATTTTTATTCTTAAGAAATAATTTTTTAAATAAACAATAACTATATTGTTATTTTTATTGATTTTATAAAATATAAAAAATTACATTAAATTTATAATAAAAATCACACTTTATAAAACATAAATAAACTATATATTATGAAAACAAATATATTGAATTAAATCATATATAATGTTTTTTATGAATCAAAATAAATTAGTTTTTAAAAAAATATATATGAGAAATTTTAAATTATATATATTAAAAAATGTAAGCTGATTTTCTTTTAATATTAAAAAATCATTTGTTGATTTTAAAAAAAATATTATATAAAATATTTTTATTCATTTTAATAATAATAATATTATTATTTAATAATATACTTCACTTAGATTTTAGATTTGATGTACTAAATTCATCACAAGTTTTCGGCTACTTTTTCTGAGAGATATATCATTACACAATTTTCTAGTTTCTTTTTCAATTATTTTTCTTACCTAGCTGTAACTTTTGTATCATTTCAGCTTCCATTATCATATTCTCAATTTTTCAAATAACTTATCAAGCTAAAATTGGAATTGTCCAATTTTCTTATGCTATAAATATTACATAAAAGTATAGTACATTGCTTTTCTTATTTGTTAGTTAGTATGATATGACATCTTTTTAATAAGTTATTGGGAGATGTTCCAAACCAAAGGGGTTAAGCTTAAATTAATTACTTCATCATTAATAATTTTCCAATTTTAATTATATCCTATCTCAATATATAAATAAAATATTTTAGTAATTCATTATATAATAATCAGTTTTAATATTATTTTTTTCTTACACATAAGTCAAATCAATTATAATCCTACTTTATCTGTACTTTCCTGTCATGCTAATTGTGTAAGGTAAAGTTCTTAGTTTGTTAAGCAATAAGTTGTCTCTTTCTTCTTCAATTTATACTTTCTGTCTATCTAAATAAAAATCTTCTTCAATTTGTTATTTGGTTAAAACTATATTTTTCTTGTATTTCTTTTTTTTTATTTTGTCCTTATCATCATTATGGTAACCAAATATCTATCTGAACTTTAATGCTTCATCACTCACACTATATAATGTTCATAAACTCAGATATATTTCATTCCTGCAACATCGGAAGGTTCTCATTCAATCATGGAATTCTTTTAGAATCATAAAAACTCTCTGGAAAATCCAATCATTTTCTTTTAATTACTTTCCTTCAATAACTACAAAACAATCCAACTCTTGGGTCCAACAACCTTAGCCAAATTCTCTCAATATCAACAATTAATCAAACCTCACCAATCAATATATATATATATATATATATATATATATATATATATATAACTTATCCTATGTATTTATCATTCAATACCTTTGACTTAAAAATTTATTTTTAAAACCCAATTAATCTATTTCTTTATGTTTCGGTCCACGAAGTTAACTTTAAATGTCTTCTCACACAGTGTTTCTGAGATTTAAACTTATGTTAAAATTTTGTTTTTAGTTTTTTTTATTATAATAATAAATATACAGTGAAATTAACTAATTATTTGAATATCAAATTTGTAGATTTTAAAATAAGTTTATGAATAGTGTCAATCTAACTACGGTTTAATATAGTAATAATCTAATTTAGAATTAACATAATTATTTTTATTACTAATTTTATTTGTAGTCTGATCAACAGATTATTTTGTAATAAATCAAAAAATATGTTAATCACTCAATTCATGATTGACCAAACGATCATACTGGATATCCTATATATATATATTTAACCTTATCTTATATAATTATGTAAAATTTTATGATTTCAAGATAAACAATAAAAATTATTTAACTACAAATCGTCTTTGTGTTTTTATTTTTCAGCAAAAACAAATTTAAATTTTAAAAGTTCCTGTTTGTCTATCCATCATTTAATTGGGACAATTTTATCCATCATTTAATTGGGACAATTTTATTGTTAAATTTGAGTTGAAAAAAAAGGAAGGGATTAGAAAAAAAATCTAAATTTAATTAAAATCGAATTAATCTCTATTCAATTGAAATTTCCATTTGACTTCTTGTGAGCATGGAACAGTGATATGTTTCCTGGTTATGATGTTTGAACACAATTTAAGTAATAATAAAGCATGTTTAAGAAATAAGAAATGTGTTTAGAAAAGATAAAGAAATAAGAGATAATATAAAGAAGATGGTTTTAATGTGATGAGCATGTGAAGGGAAAATGGTGATATTCGTCTTATGAAATATTTAAAGTTATCTGATAGAAGGAATATATTAGGTGTGTGTATGTAAATGTAAAGACTTGTAGGAAAGAACAAACAGTGATGAGACTCAGAATTTTTTACTATACACGTGCTATTCACCCAAACACTAAACGCCAAAACATTCTGCAGAAGGACCAAACATCATATGTGCACTGTCCATTATTCTTATCAACCTGTTCTGTCACATACAACATCATTATAATAACATTTTCTGTTCAAGATTATATATATTGTTAAATTAAACAATTTTATAAAAAAATCATTAAATAGTATTTGATCTAAAAATAAAAGTAGTTACTTATTATATTAATTAAATTAAACACTATTTTATAAATTAAAAATTTTCAATAACTAAAACATTTTTTATATTTAATATAACCTAAATTGATTTTTAATATCATCTTTCAGGTTTTAACTACTTATTATTACTATTTTGAAATTAGTATTTAGTTTTAAATTATGGATTAATATAAAATTAATAATAATAAGTGATTAAAACTTTAGGGCAACTGATATTATAGACTAATTCATGCTTTCATTCACAAATTAATTATAACATTTTATTAATAATAATGATTATTTTATATATCATTTTATTAATATTTATATTCATTTCATATATATTATAAAGATAAAATATTCATAATTTTTTTTTGTATTTTTAAAATGAAAAAAATAGAAAAAAATGATGTTAAATAAATATAAAAAAAATTGTATATGTAAAAATTTTATTTGTCTTTACAAAACATCAAAGAAGCAATGGAATACAAAGTACAATATTTAAATGTAGGTGATGTTTTGTAAAGTGATGAGATACAAGTGTAGATGCACTTGATGAATTCAGAATTCAGCCACTACACAAAACAAAATAGGAAAAGAAAGCCACACCAGACATATTCTTTTAACCACACAGTGGATTTCATATCTGGCCAACTTCAGCATTTAATTCCCCACAAATATTCCCATTCATTTCATCATTTCATCACATATGTCACATGACTTTAACCTCTATGCCACACCATCTCTTCTTAGCCCTTCGATTCTTTCACCAATCAAATCTTCATCTCATCCAATGCCTCTAATTGAACTTCAGGAATAACAGCAAATGTTCCATGAAAATCTGTACCTTTTGGCTTCCTTAGGCTTTCCGTTCCCTATAAATAACCTTTAATTTTCAAGATTGGATCGAAGCAAGACACGATTTTGAGAGCAGTTAGAGACACCCAATAGGAATCTGATTCTTGAGAAAGGAGATTTGTTCTTCTGGGAGATTGCCATTTTTGTCTTCCACACTAACTTCGTTACTACAATGGCTGAAATTGTAGTGGTTTTTGACTTTGACAAGACCATTGTCGACTGCGACAGTGATAACTGGGTTGTTGATGAGTTGGGTTTCAGTGTTCTGTTCAATCGTCTCCTTCCTACCATGCCTTGGAACACTCTCATGGTGAGCTTTTCATTTCATAGGAAAAAATTATTTTTATTAAAAATGGTTTTGTATTCTATTTTCTTTTTTCAAGAAAACATCTTCAGACACATTCTCTGTCACACTCTTGTAGACACATTTTCTCTTATTAATGATCTGGTTTTGGCTTTAACAGGATAAGATGATGATGGAGCTTCATTCCCATGGAAAAACCATTGATGACATTGTGCAAGTTCTTCAGATGATTCCAATACACCCCAGAATAATCCCTGCCATTAAAGCAGCTCATGCTTTAGGGTATGTTATGTATCACTTTTCTTAATCTTTTTCTTCTGTAATATTGGTAATGTTATTGTTTTTTACTTTTAAAAACAATATGTAATATTGTGTGGTAACATATGTGATTTTCAGGTGTGATTTGAGGATTGTGAGTGATGCAAATACGTTCTTCATCGAGACAATTTTAGAACACTTAAAAATAAGGGAATGCTTCTCAGATATAAGCTCTAATCCAAGTTATATCAACGAAGATGGAAGGTTGCAAATTTTGCCTTACCATGACTTCAACAAGTTTCCCCATGGATGTACTCTCTGCCCTCCCAACATGTGCAAGGTCTATATTTCATAAACCCTTTACATCTAATAATAATAATATATTATAAACTCTAGACGTGGAAAAGATCTTTAATGATCATATCTATGGTGTAGAGTGGCATTAGTTCAAACATGTTTCTAAATTTATTTTCTTAGAAGTATTTTGTAGCTTATTATAAAAATTGATCTTGCAGGGGGAAATCATAGAGAAAATCCAAGAATCATTAGGAGAAAAGAAGAGATTGATCTATCTTGTAGATGGTAGTGGAGACTATTGCCCAAGCTTGAGGCTGAAAGAACAAGACTTTGTGATGCCAAGAAAGAATTTTCCTGTGTGGGAACTGATATGCAAAGACCCTTTGCTCATTAAAGCTGAAATTCATGAATGGAGCAATGGAGAAGAGCTTGAACGAGTTTCTTTGAGGCTAATCAACAAAATTTGTTCTGGACAAAATGCTGAGTTCATTTCATCCAATTGCAAACTGCATTTTATGTGCACGTTTAGCTCCGATTAAAATATATAGATTTACTTTTGATATTATATATTACAAAAACTTTTTATCAACAGAGTTATCTTTTATATATATATATATATGTTCATCTCTGATCTAAGGTGAAATTTTGTTTTGAATCCTAACACTTCTATCCATTAACAAATAATGACAGTTTAATGGCTATGAAAATCTAACGAATTTGCCTCAAAAGGTATTTATTTTGCTTCTGAATTAACCTTTCCCAAAGTTTCCAATGTTAATTGACTCAAGTTGGATTATACTAAAGAAAAAGAGTAGTTGCTATAATTTTGTTACATTTTTTCACACTTTTAGGTCAGTTTCTTTTTTCAGAAAGAATGTTTCAGAATACATTTTTCGGATATGAAAAAATATTTTTGGAATAATTGTTCCAATTTTCTTTTTATATTTCGAAACAATCATTGTGGAATATAAAAAAAAAAATCCTGGAACGGGTTTTCAGAATGTATTTCTAAATCCAAAAAACTTATGGAATATCTTATTTAGAATTTTTCTTTTGAAATACATTTTTTGATCTAGAAATAGTTTTTGGACCACCTAATCCAAAATATAAAAATAGTTTTTTAAATGGTGTTCTGGAAGATATTTTTGAATTTAAAAATATATTCCAGAACACCAGGTATTTCAAATTAGGGAAGGAGGCAACCGAAGAAAGTCAACTTGTATTATTAACTGAAAAGGGTAGAATGGACACTTAATAATTAGAGGGGTTGGAAGGAAAACATGTGGTGCAGGAAGTAGCAGCCGAGAGAGAGACTTTGTGCTTGTTAAAGCCCAAAGAAGAAACTTTATAAGGCTAATTAGACAGTGTATGAATGCTTCAAGCTTCTTTAGAACTTATAATATTGGACAGTGGTGCTTGTTCGACAGTTTTATGTTACATGTTGACAGTTACTGGTTAGAAATTAAACTTGGACGTGCTGAGAAATTCTTAGACATTTTACTGATATTAGTGTTTGTGTTAGGAAAGACAAGTTTATATATAGTAATTTTTATCTAATGTAACTCCGTAAGATTCCTTGGAATAAAAAAGATTCCATGGAATAAAAAAGATTCCATCTATCATGCATGCTTACGAGCGAGCTACCATTTTCTTTGCCTATAAATACACTAAATCTGTTAGTCTACACAGCACATTCACAGACAGTATCAACCCATTTAGGCATTACAAAGATAAGCTTTTGCACACTCAATGGCTGGGATTGTGGTGGTTTTTGACTTCGACTCAACAATCATCGAATGCGATAGTGATAACTGGGTTCTTGATGAGTTTGGTCTAACCGAAAAGTTCTATGAGTTTCTTCCTAACACGCTTTGGAACCCTCTCATGGTTTTCTCTAAATTTTCTTCCTTTTCTTGCTTAACCCACTTGTAATATTTTCCTGATAGCAAAATAAATATATTTTTCTTTAATCGTCCCAAAATTTCACAGGATAAGATGATGTACGAACTTCATTCACAAGGAAAAACCATTGAAGACATTGTACAAGTTCTTAATAGGACTCCAATGCATCCCCGCATTGTCCCAGCCATAGAAGCAGCATATTCCCTTGGGTACATATACATTAAATCACTCTAGTTGCTTTGATACTTGAACACGCTTTTGAATATTTCAACAAAAAACTCATCATAGTAAAACATTATGGTCATAAAATTTCGGATATAATAATGATGGTAGAACCTAAGATGACATTGTTATGTTCAGGTGCGAGTTGAAGATTGTGAGCGATGCAAATAGTTTCTTTATTGAAACAATTTTGAAGCATCATGGGGTTTGGAATTGTTTCTCGGAGATCACTGCAAACCCCAGCTATGTTAATGAAGAAGGGATTCTCAGAGTTTGCCCCTACCATGATTATGTCAAATCTTCTCATGGATGTAATCTCTGTCCACCAAACATGTGCAAGGCAACAGCACTAACTCCATTATTTCTCACATTATCACTTTTATTAAGTACATAGAATCATATTTATATATTCTTTTTGCTAATGAATGAAAAAACTCATCAAATCTAATAATAAAAATCACTTTTTTATTTGGGTTTTATACCTTTCAGTTATTTTAAAAAACTGAAAAGGTATTACTTTTACATGAAAAAATATTATTCTTGTGTACGGAGGAATCAGCTCTGGTCAAATTTTCTTTTTGACGATATTCAATTATTGAGAACTGTCTTTGTTATCATCGATCACACGTCAGGTTCCATCTTTCTGGTGCATGTCATAATGCAAAAATCCAGGGATCCCAGCAACATAAAGGCAAAATCATGCTATATAATACACTATCTAGAGTAGTGTCTATAAGAACAACCTTTGACCAAAAACCACTGACTAAATTTTTTAATATTACTTGCAAAGGTTCAACTTTTGAAACCATTATATCGACCCTTTTAATAATGTTATACAGGGACTGGTGATGGAAAGGATCCAAAATTCTGTTGATGCTGCATCAGAGCAGAAGTACATTTACCTCGGAGATGGAAATGGAGACTTCTGCCCTAGTTTGAAGCTGAAAGACAAGGACTTTTTGATGCCCAGAAGGAATTTTCCGTTGTATGATTTAGTGTCCAAAAACTCTAATCACGTAAAAGCAGAGGTGCATGCATGGCGAAATGGGGAAGAGCTTCATGATGTTATGCTCCATATTATCAAGAAAGCAATCGGTGAAGGAAAGAGCAGTGTTAGTAGTTGTACTCCAACAAGATCAATCGATTGCAAGTTAGGGTCAATTTCGATTGATGTTCATAACCCTTTACCTACAGCACTTCCAGTTCCTCAATAACTACCGATTAGGATCGATCAATCTCAGAATTATTATGTTTCTTCTGTCTTGTCATCTCTGTGTTCTTACTTTATTTTGCTGTCGCTTCTCTGCTTTTGCAGAAAGTGTATCAGGCTTTAGCCTCCTATTATTACTGATAATAAGACAATGAATAAAGTCTATATCTAGTTATAATTAAACACTGTTTGTAATATATGCATTTACAAAAAGTTTAATTAATAAATATCGTTTTAAGTTTCTTAATCTGTGTCGGAAGACGAATAAATCATATTTAGATATTATTTTTCTGTTTATTTTCATTCTTAGTAATTAATATCAAAATTACTTATAAAAGAGAAAGATTACCAACATATTATTTATCACTTTTATGATAAACTATTTTATGTTAAATTATCCCTTTTACCTTTTTATTTATTTAATTGACTTAATATGGTCTCTTCTTTGATTTTTTGTTTTGTTTTCATAATCGCATTTATATTATTCTTTTCACTAATTGATATGACAGCACTATGTAATTCGAGTATGTATAACTTCTATACTTCGCAAATGTGCTACGATCAATTAAATGAAAATGACAATATTAACCTTTGAAATTAGAGAATTGAATAGTTTTTTGTTATTATTGGTTGCAAATCAAACCAATTAAATAAATTATGTGACCAAATAAACCATTTAACCATTATTCTAACAACTAAATAATACATCAAAGCTACTGACATAATTTACAGCGTCGAGATAAAGGTTGGGGGTGAAAGACTCTTTTATTTCAAATATATTTTTTCTTTCATAATGTTTGAATATAAAATTTATTTACGTTATAACTTACATAAAGGTGAGAAATAGTGAAGGCATTTTTTTTCTTAAAAAAACATCCGAAGAATAAAGTTCAAATTAAAAATGTTTAGTTTTATAAAACAAACAAAAATAATGAAAGTAAAAGAAAAATAATAAAATAAATCTTATTTTAAGGTTATACATCACTCTTCCACTAAATTACCAAAACTTATTTTGGATATGAATTTTAAGGTTACCAGTTTGAATTCTACGTTCAGTTTAAAAACTATCTAAAAGATAAGTTTTTGTTCATCTAAATCAGGATATCTGCAAAAGACATTTTCATTATAAAATTAGGTGAACTTTGATAATTAATAATTAAGTAGTAAAAAAATACACCATCTTACTTTTAACCTTTATTTATTCATTTTGAAGTAGACTTTTGATTAATGTTATTTTAATTACAGTATAATTATGGATAATCATACTTTATTCTTAAATTGATCAACATTAAAATTAATATACTTAGTAAACGATCCAAGACTCTCTAACCAGATAATGATTAATTTTTACTTTTTCTTTTTCAACCCAACATACATAAAAGAAAAAAAGAATGTCCATATTTCTTACACCAATTATATTAGCTTTTCTTCTTCAATATTTAGCACTAATTTAACTCGGAGAAATAAATGAGAACAGTGAAATCCATCTCCAACATTGGATCTTGAATGCTCACCAAACATATAAAAAAATCCATAGTTTTTCAATTTCTGCTGATTTAGACAAGTAAACAAGATTTTCTATGAGCAGTAAAGTCAAGGAAGATTATGGTCAAATTTGAACTAAAATATTCAATATCTTCTTTCCCTTCACCATCACCACGCTTTTCCATTATCATTCATTTGTCATCTTGTATGCTTTCCCAGAAAAAAAAATATTGAATTTGGTAGAGTTGTTTAAAGTAGATCTGAATTGAATCAGGAAAAGCTATATATATGTGTTGCAACTATATGTATCACATAATTTTCTTACTGTGCCATGCACTAAAACTCCTTTTTCTTCAATGCTGGCATTGTTGGATCTCACCACACACCACCTACATAACAAAACACTAATCAACAAAGTGCAACCTAGCTCCATCACTATAATTGCCTGTTCCTTATTTTTTTCAAATTCTTAACTTTTCTCTCTTAATTTTCTATATTTTTCCTTATATTAAAAAAGCAAATCATGCATCTCGTTGGTACATTGATTTTAGTTAATAAAAAAAATATGTGTACTGTTGATATTTTCTATCTGTTTTAAAGTGCTTCCCAAAAAGCTTATATATGCTTCTCCTTATATCGTCCAAATCTTTGAAATGTACATAGTTTATGAGTGAGTTCTGTCTAAGACGATTCCTTTATGTAAAGCAAGTGGTGCAGGAGAAAAGAGATTTGTGATGAACTTTTTTTCTTTTCTTAATCCAAAAGCATGCTAGTTAATAAATGTAATGTTGTGTAGTGTTGTAACAACGGTATGAATTATTGAATCTAACAAATCACTAATGAATATCAACAATGTTCAATAACACCTTAAAACATTAATTATAAATATCACAGGTGATATGATAAAAATAAGATAAATTATTTTTAAGTTTTTGTTTTTTCAAAAGGGAAGGATGCTCGTCTCATTAACGGGTTTTAGGAGAGAGAGAAAAGTGAATTAATAAAACATGAACCTAATTCAAGAGATTGACACCAAAAAAGAATTTATGATTTTTTTCTTATATAATACTTAAAATATCATTTTAATTTATGTACCGGGGATTGACACCACCTTCACTTTAAAATACTAAGATAATTAATATGTAAGTCTTCTTCCTTACATAATATTTAATTTTCTCATCTTTATTCAGTAATAAATATGTAAATCTTCTTCTTTACGTAATATTTAACTTTCTGGATATGAAACTTAGATTTATATTTGAATTTCTTAATAATCATAAATAACCACTCTTCTATCATTATCATTGTTGCCTCTCCATTGTTGTTCCACTCTTTGAGAGACGAAGAAGGGAATCTTGTTTTGAAAAACTTATTTGGAAGAGTATCATATATGTTTCGAAAAGCTTATTTGAAAATTTTGTTCAAGAAAACTCATTATGTAATTATGTATTGTATTTAATGTCTTTTTTAAAAACTTCTTTTACAAAACTTATTTAAGAAATCTCATCCTAGAATGTATTTCATATATTTCGATTTTTTTTCAAAATCATATTCTGGAAATTTTTTTTCTAGAAATCTTATTATGGAAATCATGTTCATGTTCCAAAAACTTTGAGAAGTTATTCCAGAAGATCAAGGTAATCCTAAAGCCATCTCAGCAAAGGAGAAAAAAGTTATTTTACAAATTACAGAGGTGAAGTTAGAAACTACGAAGAAAACATATAAGTTTAAGAGGCTAACAAGAGACCTAACAAAGCCCAAAAGAATAAAAGTTTCAGGCTATACTTTATGCACCCGATAAGTTCCTACAACATATACTGAGAATGAATGTGAGCTCCTAATAGTATAGAAAGGTAGCAGTTTCTTACTAATTTAGTATCAAAATGTTCAAACTTGAAGCTTATATATTGCTTCTTGTAGCTCTCTTTCCCTTCTTAAGGCAGCATTTCAGAGTCGTTTTAAATCCTCTTTTCATTGAGTCCGCTCATCATCTAATTGTTCCTTCAGTTCAGCTGTTTACTTTTTGACTACACAAGAACGAAGAGAGTTACTGTATTGTCAGCATAAATAACACAACTTTTAGATTAAGATAGATTTGTCTCTAAGTGACAAGATGGTGTTGTTAAAGATCCTGAGAGATATTCATAAGGACATCACACCTAAGTTTTTAGAGTTAAGTGCATGCTTGCACCAACATTTTCATGGAATACTTACTAACCAGTCATGTGCATCTGCATTTATCTTTTTGAGCTCCTCCATTTTAGCCTCTCATGCTTGGTAATAGGTATCTTTTGCAGTTGTCATCATCAAATCACAAATAAAAAGTAGTTAGTAAAAATTTAAATGGTTAAACACGACTATAATACAAAAACTATACAAATTTATATTTAAAGCAAAAACAAAATTATAAGTTTTTATTTTAAAAGTAAAATTAAATATGATTACATTCACAATGATCGCCAGGTGTGTTTGGGCGAGAGCATGGTTGAAAAAGTGACCTGAGAGTGTCTGCTTCTCCACACTGTCTATGAACAACATTTCCATGAAGAACCTCAAACTCATCCTCACCCAAGCACAAGCCCAAGCCAAAGATCCCGACCCCTATCTGAAGCCCGTGTTCTACGCCTCCCTCCTACAAGACTGCATCAAAGCCCACTCCTTCGTCCAGGGCACCCTCCTTCACGCCCACGTCCTCAAATCGGGCCTCCTTGCCGACCGCTTCCTCGCTAACAGTCTCCTCTCCCTATACTTCAAACTCTCCCCACACTTCTCCCAGGCCCGCACTCTCTTCGATGGCCTTTCCTTCAAAGATGTCATCGCATGGACCTCCATTATCTCCGGCTATGTCCGGAAAGCCCAGCCCACCCAGGCTCTCTGCCTCTTCCTCCAAATGCTCCGCCTCGGCCTTTATCCCAACGCCTTTACCATTTCCTCCCTCCTCAAAGCCTCCTCCCAGCTCCCAAACCTTCTCCTTGGCAAAGCCCTCCATGGAATCGTCGCCACCCGCGGCTTCCACTCCAACTGCGTCGTCGCCTGCTCGCTCATCGACATGTACGGGAGGACCAGCGTGGTCGACGACGCGCGCAGGGTGTTCGACGAATTGCCCCACCCGGACCCGGTCTGCTGGACGGCCTTTATCTCCACGTTGGCGCGTAATGACAGGTTTAGGGAGGCCGTGGGGTTGTTTTCCGTTATGCACGACGGAGGTTTGGGGTTGGAGGTTGATGGTTTCACCTTCGGAACACTGTTAAACGCGTGTGGGCACTTGGGGTGGCTGAGGATGGGGAGAGAGGTGCATGGGAAGGTTGTGACTTTGGGGATGCGTGGGAATGTGGTCGTGGAGAGTAGTTTGTTGGATATGTATGGGAAGTGCGGCGATGTTGGGTGTGCGAGGGCAGTGTTTGATGGGTTGGAGGGGAGGAATTGGGTGTCTTGGACTGCTATGCTTGGAGTTTATTGTCACAATGGAGAATCTGAGAGTGTGCTTGGGCTTGTTAGGGAGTGGGGGGTGGTGGATGTTTATAGTTTTGGGACGATTATCCGTGCTTGTTCGGCGCTGGCTGCGGTGAGGCAGGGGAAGGAGGTGCATTGTCAGTACGTGAGGAAGGGTGGGTGGAAGGATGTGGTGGTGGAGTCTGCTTTGGTTGATATGTATGCGAAATGTGGGAGTGTGGATTTTGCATATAGGTTGTTTTCGAGGATGGAGGTGAGGAATTTGATCACGTGGAACTCCATGATTGGGGGGTTTGCGCAAAATGGGAGAGGGCAAGAGGGGTTGGAGTTGTTTGAGGAGATGGTGAAGTAGGGGGTGAGGCCGGATGGGATCAGTTTTGTGAATGTTCTGTTTGCGTGTAGTCATAATGGTTTGGTTGATCATGGGAGGAGGTATTTTGATTTGATGAAGAGGGAGTATGGGATTAGGCCTGGGGTGGTGCATTACACTTGCATGATTGATCTTCTTGGAAGGGCTGAGTTGATACAGGAGGCTGAGTGTTTGCTAGAGGCTGCTGATTGCGGGTATGATCATCATTCGGTTTGGGCGGTTCTGCTTGGAGCTTGCACTAAGTGTTCGGATTATATCACAGCTGAACGTGTTGCGAAAAAGATGATTCAGCTGGACCCTGAATTCCATCTGAGTTATGTTTTGCTTAGTAATGTTTATAGAGCAGTTGGCCGGTGGAATGACGCCCAAGAGATCAGAAGGTTAATGGAGGAGCGAGGGGTTAAGAAGATGCCTGGCACGAGCTGGGTTGAAAGTGAGAAGCAAAAGGGTTCTCCTAGTTTTGATTTGAGCATTGTTGGGAGGAGCATGGGAGAGGCTGCGTGTGTTAGATAGTTATAGGCAGGTTGAGTTCTGTCGATATAGTTGGTAGACTGATTTAGCATAGAATGAACACTCGGTTTATTTTTGGTATCATGGAAGGTTTGTTCAGAGATTCTATGGTGGTGTTGTACATGAAGAGATTTCTTTTGTCATCTTACTTGCATTGTATTAGACAGTAAAAAAACTTTCACTTGGTGACTGAATAGAATGAAGTCCAAAAGCAGCATCAAATGAACACATCATTCTTGTCTGGTTGGAGGGATCGTCATGAAAAGCCTGCAAACATCATCAGCTGCTGCAATCAAATGAATAAAGAGTAACACCTTGAGCTGATGCATGCTCATTTTTGTCAACTGAATTTAGCGGCCTTCGTCTCGAACCAGTGAGTGAAATTTTTTATGGGTGAAATTATGGTGTGACTGTCCCTTCTGGCCTGACGACGGCATGTGCCAGTTGCGGGACTGTAGTGCATGTGAATGCCCAGAAAGTGAATTCCCTGAATCATTTAAGAAGCCACATGGCTTCTCAATGAATGATCTTGTTTGTCAAGAAGGAAAACCTCAGGCAGCTGTTGACCGTACTTTAGTCAATAAAGTTTTCAGAGGATGGATAGAAATAGACAATGCATTGACAAATGACGATGAGACTGACAACGGTGCGTTATTACTTTATATTCTAATTCACATCTAAATTATTTGTGCTATCAGTTGTTGTTTCAATTAATTGTGTGAAAGTGAAATAGCAGATATTAGCAGTGAAGTATAAAATTTAGGATTCTTAAGTATATTGAGTGACATCAGATTTATACTCCTCTAATGAGTATATCTTTGTGAATCGTTTTTGTTTTATATCTTGATCTGCTAAGAGATTTCTTTCTATTATTAAATTTCAACTTGACCAGCCCTTCGTTTTTAGTATCAGAAAGCAAACAGTGTTGTTAGCATTCACTTATAGTAAAAGTGCCTTTTAACTTTTTTTTTTACTGGTGGCAGAACGTGATTCAAATTACTAAATCTTTTTATGATGTATTCAACCTCTTTCTAAGAAAAATAAGCATGTCAATTGAAAGCCGTGTTTGCATTTGCAGACGAGATGACATACGTGAATCTTCAACTGAATCCTGCGAAGGTATACTGGTTACACTGGTTCTTCTGCAAGAAGGATATGGGATGCTGTCTACTCTGAGAACCGCCCCAAAATGTGAGTTTTCTCTGAAAAGCTTATTCACTTAAATAATTTGACTAAACTACAATATTTTGAAAAGGCCTTGGATTTTAGGTTGTTTGATGGTACCTTTCATATTATTAAACATTGACAGACCAGTAACTTTGAATGTAAATAATCGCTTTTCTATTTGTAGAGTGGATATTGGTTGTGTTCTTATCATCTGTTTTGGTGAAAGATATCTTTGAAATGTTAATAAAAAGGGAGTTTCTTTTCTCTGGTTCATTATTGTTAGAAGTAGACTTTAAGGCTAACTCAACCCCACCAAACCGGCTTGTAGGGTGAGGTTTGCACCCACTTATAAATTATGAATTGGCTTTATCTCTAGTCGATGTGAGACTTCCAACAATTATAATTTGTCTGGACTTTTTGAGTACCGATCGTATCTGAACATAATTTTTGACTGTATAAGACAACTAAGTGACCGATCCTTGTACTTGTTCACCGTTTATTATTCTACTACTGATTTATCTTACGCTCATTTTTATTTATTTATCTCACTGGCAATTGAATAATATTTTTTTGTGTGTAAACAGTGCATTGATGGATTGTATATGATGTGAGAAGTGTCGATTATGGGGGTAAGCTTCAGGTTCTTGGTCTTGTTGGAACTGCATTAAAGATTCTCTTCTCTGTTGATGGTCAAGAAAACTCAAGTCAAACAGTAAGTACATTTTACCCCAGAATTTTTTTTTTCTTCCTCCCTTCACACTATGGTTAAGTTACCAACACCTTTTAAATTACACTTGACGATCTTTCAGCTTCAGCTGCAAAGGAATGAGGTAATTGCATTGATGAACCTTCTCAATCGGCTTTCAGAATCTGTCAAATTTGTCCATGAAGTGGGACCTGCAGCTGATGGTGTGATGGAAGGACATGTTTCTGCTCATAAAACATTGATTAAAGCATGCAAAAAAATTTGGTCCTTTGTATCTAAAACTTAGGTAACATGCTCTCTTCTTAGTATTTGTTGTATCAGTCTTTGATGTTCCAAACTGAGTATTAGATGTTTGCATCTGCAGGCTGAGTGAGTGGTGACAGTTCTGTTTTCTGTGATTAAAATTACTTCATAGGTTAGACATAGAAAACCACTGTCATAGTTTGGAAACTAATGTACTTAGAGTGTCTCAAAATTGAAAATAAATTGGTTGAGTATAGGGGGAAAAGATTAAGTGAAAGTAATAGAAAATATATTACTTGGGAATTTGGGGTTTAATCCCCTTCTTCCCCACTGATTTTGTAATTCAATATTTCTTGCAATATCTGTGCACCATTTCTCCTTTGTCTTGAGAAACGTGTTAATTTATATATCAAATTATCATATTTAAAATTTAAAATTAGTTTTATTAATTTTGAAATAAGTCTTGAAATATATATTTTATTTTTTAAATTCTTATATTAAAAATTATCCTCTAAAAGAGAAAAAAAAATAGTGTATTAACCCAACATAAGACCGTGCGTCTGCCTAAATATTAATATTACAATCTACTTAAAATATAATTTAGATCATCAATTACATTTTTATCCTTGACCCATTAATCAAAAAAACCGAATCATCTTTGTTCACAAGTTGAATAATTGGGCCTTTGATATAATTCTTCTAATTACAATATTTAGAACCCTAAATCGTTATTCATTTAATGTTAAATGTAACACACACACACATATATACTTTGAAATTTTCTTAAATAGCATTTACATTCCTTTTAAATCTTTTTAAAAAAACCCACTCGTTTCTCTAAATGTCATTTATTTCATTTTTAAAGTACGGTGTAAGATTTTTGTACATTACGCAATAAATAAAATAAATTTTCAATTTACTCTTTGATAAAATGCAAATTAGTTGTTTTATGAAACAAATATTGGTTATTTTGTAAGGAACTCAAGATTATGGGAAAAAAATAGAGAACAAAATTATGATTTTTATTAAAGATAACTGCTTTTAAAATTTAAAATAATATTAGCTATTTTATTGAATACAATATATAATATTAATTTTCAAGTTATTAGCTCTTTGGTTAATAACTTGAAAATTAAAAGGTAAAATATAGGACAACATATTTTATTCGTGGTGGCAATAATTTTAGCAAATTATTGAATTTTAATATAGCATAATTTAACTAATGGGTCATATATATATATATAAAATTAAATTTTCAAGTTCATACTTACAAATGATTTCAAACCTAAAAATTAAACAACATTCAAAATAATTACAAATTAAAGAATAAAAAGTTATGTAAAACTATCTGAAGACTAAATAGTACATTACTTTTTCAAAAAGAAAACATAACACATAAATGAGAATAAATAATTATGTGTTTAGATTAATTTATTACATTAATTAAAGAATACGAATTAAAAATAAATTATCTGAATATAAAGACTACTTAGATTCTTTGTACATAGTCATGAATACTAATTTAGTGTTTAAATCGGATATAAAATTAAAGATAAATATATGCACAATCGTTAAATTTGTTCATATTCTAAATTATTAAACATCTTTAATTTATATTATATGTATGCAAATATGATTTATATTATGGACATTTCACCTTGCACCTCATATTTTTACAAATGTTCTCGTAATTAATGAGATTGATATAGATTAAATTTCTTTTACAAATTCTGTTTAAGGACTTCAATGAATGAACGTGAAATATAGACTTCCATTGTCCCAGCATCTCTTTCATTGGAGTTGGAAGAGTATTTTTTTTAAGCTTCTCACATCAAACAAACGAGTGCATGAATTTATTATAAAGCTCTAAGCTCTTAGTGAAATCTAATAAATAATAAATTGATATCAAAATTCGATTTATTCTGCTTCGGATTTCAAATGATATTTTCTATTGGATTTTGATATCCATTAAAAGCGAATCGAATATCAACGACAAACATAATAAACAAGTATTATAATAATGATTTTTAAAAATTTTATTTAATGTTTAATTATATTATTTGTAAATGTCTATTAGATTATTTTAAAATGTTTAAATAGATAATTTTTAAATGTTTAATTTAGTTTTATTAATTTTATTAGATTTTTTTTTGTAAATATTTAATTTATTTTATTTTTTTATTATAACTTAATTATAAATGTTAAATTTATTGTATTAGTTTTTAATAATTTTTGTATAAAATAATTTTTTTGAATTATTTTAATTTATTAAAAAAATAATTTATTTAAAATTCATATGAAAATTTTATTAAAAATTTAAAATTCATATGAAAAACATGTATCAAAGCCCACTCTCCCCACACTTCTTCGAGGCCCGCACTCTCTTTGATGGACTTTCCTTTAAAGATGTCATCGCCTGGACCTCCAATATCTCTAGCTATGTCCGGAAAGCCCAACCCACCCAGACCCTCAACCTCTTCCTCCAAATATTATATATATATATTTAACACAATATTTCAGCTTTATTTCCTATAAAATGCCTTATTTTTTTTTGCTTTTCACAAACCAAATGGTATATGTATTCTTTTTAATTTTTCTATGTGTGAATTATTATATTTTTTACAGTTAAAAGTTTAAAATTATTTATTTCTTTAATTAAATTATTTGGTCATTAATTTGATTCTAGTTTTTTAAAAAAACGTATTGTTATATAAACTCTTAAAACATAATTAAATTAGACAATATAAAATGTTTATCTTTAAATATATGAATGAAATTAATATATGAATGAAAGTCATAATAAATGTTAAATAAAATGAAGAATGTGGTGAATAAGAAGAGTAGATTGATTTTGTTAAAAAAGTGATTTTGAATGGTAACATTCAAAAGGGGTGATATTTTGACAATATTTTATCATTATTTACGACGGTAACAAATGTTAATGTTGTCATGTATTTAATGTACGAGACAAGTGGGGATTTGGAAGGTTGAAGGGTCATTGAATGCTTATCGTTGTTTGCCCTTACATTGCTCACTACTTACTGTTTTCTGTTTTCTGTTTTCTGCAGACATACAATTGATTGATGTGAACAACCTGGGAACTCGATCTTCTTTTACTGTTCTGCATTTATGTTTTAGCAGCTATTCTTTTCCTACTTTTAATTCCTCACCTTCAAACCAAACTCAATTCTTCAGCCTTTCAATCTCTTTCTCATAAATAACCAATCCCAAAAAAGTTAAAAATGGAAAAATTACATTTTTCTTATAAAGGGGCAAATGTTTCTGTTTTAAAATAGGATAATGATACTTTGACAATATTTTTTGACAATATTTTAACACTGTCTACGTGTTATTATGTGATTGATTTATGTTGGTGTTTATGATTA